TAGATATATATATATATATATATATATATATATATATTGTATAACAATACACCTATATTACAAAAGATAATATCAGGAGACACAGTAATATCTCGAAGGTATATTATATTTGAGAATGAGAAACAGTTTCCCAGAATATCGTCATGTTTTATCATCCGCGGCAAAAATGGAACTTGATTTACTGTAATTTCTTTTTGTTATAGACTATTAGAATTGATAATTTTCATATTTTAAGTCTTTTATATTAATAAAATTATTTATTTTTTCTGGTATTTTATTAATAAAATTTATTAATAAAAGATAGTTACTAATTTGTCTATTGTATTACAATCGTATTATGTATCATACTTGAGATGGAATCACTGTGTGAATTACTGCTCACACACAATTGCACGTTATTTTTTTTTCTATTCATGAAGAAATTGTTTTTAAAATTACGAAAAAATTTTTATGTCTGCTGTTTCTTTGTGAATCGTATAATGTTCAAGAAAGTACACTTGAATAACTCTGCGAATATCTATGGAAGGTGTTTCAAAAAGAATGATTAATGAGCCAACTGCTGGTTATATAATCATGTTGATAACATTACATTTTTTAAATTACTTAGAAAGTAATACATTCTTAACATACGTTATGTTCTTACAAGAATTTAAGTACGTCATTTCTTAGAAACAACTTATTTTATAAACATTTTTTTCTGCTTCAAAATACGTGGAACTTGTTCGTTATTCAATAGGATGGCTCTATAATCGTCTTTATTGACAATCCATTCGCACGTCGAATAAAAGCTATATATGCGAAACTATATATTGCGACGTTATCAAATATGGAAATCAAATACTGATTGTATTACTGGCTGACGCGACTTATCGGGCCAAAGCTTTGGACGCAAGCATAGCTAATCTTTAGTTTTTTTTTCTTCATTTTTAGAAAGTCATAACTCTGTTGAAATCACTTTATACTAGTTCAATAACTGATTACGTGACTAGATTACACTCCAGATGTATCACACGAAGTATTTACTATTCGGAAAACGTGAAATTTTCGGAAGATTCTTTTTTATCCTTCAAAATCAGGAATTTTCGTAGAACTCTTTATCAGTATTCAGATAGATTTCCTGAATTTTACTTATTCTATCTCTTTCTGAAAACATTGAACTCTTTGATCATTTTTTCTTGATGTTGATAATTGCACTGAAAAAAAAATTTGCAAATTTTAAATAAATATTTACTCCAATAGTACTAACGAGATACTTATTTATAGTAAATAAATATTTATTGAAAATATAACAGTCATGTTTAAATCGAATAAATATATGTTTACGTAATAAATATTTTGTTAGTACTATTGGAGGAAATATTTATTTAAAATCTGCAAATTTTGTTTATGTATGGTTAGCAATAAATATGGTATACACATTCGTTTATATTCACGTGCATTTTCGTGTGTCTCGTGGGACAAAAATCAAGGCGACAATAGAAGGCAATATTCAGTAGAAGAAAATAACTCATTGATATTATCTTGTACTATTTGAATTTTTTCTGTACTATCCTATAGATTTCTCGGCTCCGGTTGTAGAACATGCTAGATACAGACTCGTGGAATCCTTATTTCGTACTAATTTACAATATATTTTATAGTTTGTTTGCGTTACACTTCAAATTATTTCAAAGTTGCATAAAAAAATTGTCTGATCTTTTATTGGAAATTTTGAATAAAAATATCTAGAAAATCCTCAAGGAAGTTTTCAAAGACTTTTTCCAAGGTTTCAATGAACATACTGATCACACAGTTTCCACATTTGTTGCATCATTTTGTAAATAATATCGCTTTCGATACGCGATACTGCTTTGTGATTAAGAAATTTGTTACGTTTACAGCTTTGATCTAATAGGTCGGTAGCAAGTAACATAATCAGCATTTGATTTCCATATGTGATAAACCCGATATGGTTTCGCATATATCTTTCACGTGCAAGAGTGATACTTATAATCTATATACAATAAATAGTCCCGAATTTATTATTTTCGATCAATTAGAATTAAGTATTAATTATTCGAATTGTACGCGAAATTAAAATACAAAATTCCAGGCGTAGTCATGAATTTGTTTGGGGGAGAGGGGACAAATTAGAGTTGTACCTTTTGACCGGAGGAGGGTATTCGAGTAGTTTGGACTTATATTGTTTTATATTATTTTTAATTAATTATTAGCAGGTAAATCATAAAATCACATACATATAATTTACTAAATTTGCTAAACTCTGTTTAAGCAGCTTTAATTATTTTTGTTCTTTAGGGAGGCATGGTCCCTTTCTTGGCTACGCTCATAATTACGGATATTATAAAAATTTATCGCGCACTGTCCGCAAAAATAAAATTAACGAGACATTTTTGCTCGAATTATTTGAATATCATCAGATGCGCGAGGAGAAGGAATGTTATCTGTATGGTTAATGAGGTGGAGATAATTGATTCAACATCGAACGAGATGTTGGAAATTGTAGATAATCAACTGCGGTTTTAATTGAAATATGTGCTCTGATGTAATGATAATAGTACATATAGGAAATGCAGAGTCAAATAAAATAGCTCCGTACATTACATTATTACTAAAATTTATACACGCAAATATTAAAAAATCGTATAAAATATTAAAAGCATTTATATAAACATCCGGTATATGGTTGTAATTTATAGGATTCTTTTGCGAGTTGTACTTTGAAATTTGACCGTCAACGTATTTATAGACATGTAAATTGGTAAGTCGTCTTTATGAATGCAGAGAAAATGATGAAAATGACTATATTGATGATCGCGAAGATTTCTTTTGATCACCTCCGAGAAGCTGAAACTTTTTATACTGCATTGTTCACTGTGCTACTGTATAAATGTAATATTCAATAAGTGTATTCATCATCTACTTTGATTAATCCTGAACTGGCAATTACTCAGATAAGAGATTGCTTACGAATATATCAATGCAAGGAATTGATATCGTGGCGCATTGATTATTTTTAACGACCGCTCGAGTATCGCTCAAGTTTGCGATATCCTACTTAGGAAAATTTCAAAATGAGAAAGAATAAGTATAATTTGTTCCCGTCTTCTTATCCTCATCTGGGAAATTTAAAGTACGTTCTTTTATCTGGGCTTCTTAAATGGTTCATCTTTTCTCTTTTTCTCTTCATGTAGAGAAGAAAAAGAAAAGATAAAATGTAAGAATTAAAAAGAATAAGCTATTAAATACACCAAAAAATGAATATTTGTGATATTGTTAATTGTCCTGATAATATATATCGTCCTGTCGTAATGACGCATGCCTTTGGTCTTCCTGATTCTACTAAACATGGAAAAGTATCTAATCAAAAAAAATATTCATATAGCTGCGCAAGGAAGATTTATATTGTCAATGGCCAAGACTTGCCAGCGTTCATTTCTAATAAAACGATATAAAAGCTAGGAGGGGAGGTAGGGTTGACTTCTCGTTATCTAAGGAGGGTCAAATAGCTTTATCGCGCGTTGAGATGCATATAGCGTGGTGTCATTGTTATCGCTAAGCTGCTAAAATCTCATGTTTCCACAGGTCGGCTCGGAGGTGGCCCATCCAGGAGTGTCCAACGACTTCGGAGATGTCGAGGCAAGGAAATACTACACGTACTATCAGTGGGTCTGCTTCGTGCTGTTCTTCCAGGTAAGCAGAGAATAACCCTCGCTTTATCGACAATCTTACCACACGTGCGACATGCTGAACGCGCGCCACGTAAGAAGGAGGGTTTCTCGGAGATCTTTTCATTGTTGTCTCCTCTTTATGCTCGCCCGCTTGTCTTTTCGCTGATCCGCGTTTGTCCTTTACGTCTGGCGGCCCACGTGCTGACTCGTGCGTAGGAGATCATAAATGATCGCTTTAATAACCGTCCGTAAAGATTTGTACAGTTACAATTGCCAGACAGATAAATAGAAAAAAGTTGAGCGTTAATCTTCAATCCATTTTCGAATGCGTTAACGGAGAGAGTTTTACTCTGGAGTTTAATGTACATACAAAAAGTAGTGAAGAAAGATGGTATTTTTAGTCCATGTTTCAGTAAATTTTGATATAATTTCTTTGCAGAATTAATTCGCCTAGTTTTTATAATTTATAATGACTGACATTACATTATATAATGCTTATCCATTTTTATCTGATTATCTTTGTTAATAGGCCGTTCTGTGTTATATACCGCAATGGCTGTGGGGCTTCTGGGAAGGCGGCCTGATGCAAGCACTGGTCATGGGAATGAATTGTGGTATGGATAACAAAGACAACATAACGAAGAAGAAAAGTATTCTCATGGATTACTTGATGATGCACATAAGGGTAAGAAAGTAAACAAATCGGCTCCATAAATTTGATTAATTTTTCACTTGGCCGATGTAAAAAATGTATGGAGAGTCTTGAGAAGGTAGATTCATTAGGTAGACTGATCCATTATTTAACTAGTCGCCCTTGGTGGTCATTGATAACTACTTGGATTTCAATAACATCGCACGTATTCCTGCTTTAAAATGTTTTCTAAATACACCGAGTGATTAAATTTGAATCTATCGTAAAATAGATAACCGTAGAATTCAGAAGTGATTTTACAAAGAGCAATATTTGTAATGATTTGTTATTTAAAGATAAATAGTAATTTGATAAAATATTTTCATAAGATTTTAAATATAAAATAAATATAAAATAACCAGCAAATTCTAATCTGAATCCTTCTTAAATACAATCATAATTTTTTGCAATTTAAAATATCTAATAAATTCTAGTCTGAATTCTTAGATGCGACTATAATTTTTTTGCAATGTAAAATATCTAGTGAATTTTCTAACATGAATCCTCTTTAGATGTAATGTTAATTTCTTACAACGAAACGAAGATTGCATTTAGTAGATTACACGAGATATCCCGGTGTCACTTAGATGGAATGTTAGTAGACGACCAAGAAAGTAAAAAGGGGGAAGGAAGACTTGTGACAAGAGAGGGAGATGACCGCGTTAAGACCAATTCGTCCTCATTGAGTCCAATTTGCTTTAATTCAACGATGAATTGTGCTTTCAGAATCACAACACGTACGTGTATCGGTACTTCGCCTGCGAGGTTCTGTGCCTCGTCAATATAATCGGTCAACTCTATCTGATGAACCGATTCTTTGATGGCGAATTCCTCAGCTATGGTCTGCGAGTACTGCAGTTCTCGGATACACCGCAAGAGGAACGAATTGACCCCATGGTGTATGTGTTTCCTCGCGTTACCAAGTGTATATTCCACAAATACGGAGCTTCGGGTACAATACAACAGCACGATTCTCTCTGCATTTTGCCGTTAAATATCGTCAACGAAAAGACATACATCTTCATCTGGTTCTGGTTCTTCATACTAGGCATCATGTTAGTCGCTCTGATAATATATCGAGCTCTGATCATTTTCGCTCCAATGATACGACCGAGAGTACTACATCTATCGTCGAGACTATTGCCCATCGAAACTTGCCAAAGCGTCAGCAGAAAAGTCGACTTAGGCGACTGGTGGATACTTTACATTCTTTCGACCAACATGGACTCGCTCCTCTACAGGGATTTCCTTATGGAATTTACAAAGAAGATGGGTAATACTAGCTCGAAGTCCGTGACCGCGTAAGCGCGAGATCTTGGACGCGCACCTTGCGCTGTATGATAATTTAATTATTTAGTTCAAATACACCGATACACGGACTGACTCGCACCTCGCGGCGCGTTCCTGCAAATATGTTTACACTAGGATTTGTAATACATAGTTATATTTTCGTATATCTACGTATTGTAGCAGTAGCTTCAAGAGCAAGCAATTGAGATTTAAATTGGATTTTAATTATTTTTGTAGACAATGATTCAGGATCGTCATTAATTTTTAAACAAATAAGTAGTTGAAGCAAAACCCATAACGAAACAAAGTAACAATAACATGATCGATCGCGTCGTTATGTTACTTTGCTTTGTTACATGTTTTGCTTTAACCACTTATTTATTTAAAAGTTAGAAGAATATTTTGAATCGTAGTGTAAATAATTAGTCTTTCCCAAGCGTTCAATTCTAGACATATATGTATATCTCATTTTTATCGTTTTTTTTTTATATTGCATGTATATCCCGCGTAATTCTATATACAAGTTGCTTGGGAATGATTAATGCAATAATCTTATACTCAGTCTCATGAAAGAGATTTTTAATAAAATAATTTTATATGTAGGATGTTAAAAACTAGGTATAAGGAAATAATAGACCAATCGAAAGAGT